TATATATATATATATATATATATTTGAGATGATTTATTTATTATTTAAGATGATATATAATCTTTATTCTTGATTTGTTGTGAGCGAAGGAATACAATAAAATAGAGCGCTACATAGATATTTTGGACGTTCATTTTCTTCTCTGTATAATCATGTTTACAAGTAAATCAGAACCAGAGTGAAAGTGAGTACGAAAATGAAAATATTCATAATTATTTTCCCGAAATATTTATTTCAATAGGATGGAAAAATTTTTATTATCCGTTTTTCGTCGAATACAAAAAAATTTATATTCATATTTTCATTCACATGTATTTTATTCATTTAGTCGAATATTTGGTATATTCATCGTGTATATTAAACGAGACAAATTTTGCACGATATAATAATGATTTAAGTTTTGTAAAAAAGGAGCAACGAAGCAGTAGTAAATCTTGGCTAGTTGTCAACCACAGGTTTCTTATCCTCTTTACGATTAGGTGGGGTTTGCTCTTGTACATGACTAACGTATCTGTTTGGGAACTGTTCCAAAGTTCTTTCTCGTGACTTCAGTTCTTTTAAAAGAACCGAGCAAAAGAATCGAAAAATATACGTACTTTATGATCGTTCATCTTTCAGTAAAACTTACGAATGTCCAAACTTACACATATCAATCATTTAATACTATCATTTCTTTCATTTTCAGTTATTTAGATTAATAGCTCTATTGATTGATTCAGTTGGAGTACACGCTAATTGCGGTTGTGCATTTGTTTATTAATTTACTATTCGCTTAAATAAAGTATTACTAAATAATAGCATAACAATTGTGGCGAATACAATCAAGTAATTAACGATTGCATTGTTTGCAGTGTTTAGTCACAGGTGCAGTATTATTGGTGGCAACGGGAGGCGGTATACCGATTGGTTACAGCGCAGTTTTGTTGCCACAATTGTCAGAAGAAAATAATACTTTTCATGTGGATCGCGAAACTGGTTCTTGGATAGGTAAGAATGCATATTCAACAATTTTATTTTTAATAAAGAGATAGAAGATAGAATATTTTTAAAGGATTTTTACACAAAACAGCAGATTTTAATTTTGAATATAAAATTTTTGAATATAAATTTTTATCTTGTTTCTGAAATAAATTAAGTGATTTATATCATAGAACATTTTACATTGAATCGAAAGATGAAGTTTTGTACACGTAATTTCTATGAGTGAGATTAGAGATCTCACAGTCCTTGCGAGTTCAAGAAGCAGGTTCAAGGTTGCACTATCACGACTCTCGCGCAAATGAAGCGTCGCCGATTGTTGCAAACTGCATACTGTAACTGACCTACATACTGTCTCATTGGGTAATTGGATTTGTCTCTTTATCAATGAGTGTCAAGACCAAGTTCGTGCAGGAAGGATACCGTTTGAAAACCTATATATGTGAGCTCAATGCCATAATTAACCGATTACATGAAAAACGTTACGACCTTTCATAAGTGAATGAAATCGGTCGAATGACCTTTTTATAATGTAAAAAGCTGCAGAGCTACAGCATTGGCCAGAACATGAATTTTAATAGTTTTTCTTATGCATTTTCATTTATCGTGTATATATCGCGTATAAAGTGCGCAAAATATATTTACCATCCTATACATACGGTATACATGGCAAAAAGCAAGTGTCGGCACTTAATGCTATATATTATCACGTATTGGGTGAAAATATATTTTATAACATCATAAAACTTGCGATGCTCAGCGTATTATACATTTTACAGTTTGCAAATGGCGGCTGTATGACTGCTACGGTTTCATATAAAAGCTTTTATACGAAGCCACACAAGAATCCTCAATATTGTTTTATGTTGATTTTACAGACAGCAATAAAGTATGAAAAAAAGCTACGTACGTAGAGAAGATGGCCAAAAATTAGACTAAAAATTCAGAAGATATAACAAAAATCATTTAGAAAACAGCGTTTAATGATGAAACTATCAAAACCATCGAAAGTATTTGATGTTGTAGAGTTTTTGATTATTTTAAAACTGGAAACGGAGATATGTCACGAAATTCTTTTTCATATCTCTGTCCACAAGATTTCGCATAAAGTGATTGAATGTGACTTAAAGGAGTTACTCTGAAAATGTATAGATATATTGTATATAAAAAAAAAAACATTGAAAATTTGCTGACGAACACATGAAATATTATGAGATTGAATCGCGAGCTTGAGTTTTTTGTGGGTGATTTTCGTACGAATAATTTTTCCAGTTTTACAATCCAGAATTTATTTTGCCATCTATCGCAAATGATTGATAATTATTGATAACTGCACGCATCTTTTATAATGCTTGATGTTCATTTGATCGATGATTTCTAAAAATTCCAAGATTCATTATTCATTCAATCATTGAAGGCGACAATTCAATATTTCAATATTCGCATCATTTATAAGTCGCCGTGCCAACACATTAAAATATTTTATTACAGCTTCATGCGTTATTGATGCATCGCTTTCAGGCTTATCGCAAAATTGCATTCTTTGATGTCTGAAAATCAATTTGAATAAAAAATTAAACGTACAGTACATTGAAGAAATACAATTAAAACTTTATATATAATAATAAAAATGATTTAAAACTCCTGTTTATTTACCATTATTATCTTGGATTGTAATATTAAAATTAAAAATAACACAATAAAAATTTATATGAAAAATAACAAAATAAATATGAAAATTTTAAAATGGAAATATATTTCAATAAAACAACAGAATAGATAGAATCGATAGAATCTCGATCTATCTAATATAATTAAATATAATTTATGTGCCGAAAATTAATTCTCTTTTTGTCCATTATTAATTAATAAATGAAATAAACTTTATTTTGTTTTTGTTATATAATTCAAATATATGATTTACTAATTTTATTATTTATTAATTAATAAAACAAAAGGAAAGCTTTCTGTATATATTTTATAAGTCAATTCTATTGATTGTTGTTTTATGGAAATATATTTCCATATTAAAATATTTTGCAAAAATTTTTATTGTGGATTTTCTCGGTTCTGACGTCACAATTTGAGATAGTAGTAATGAATAAACACAAAAGTCTTAAATTATTCTTATCATAAAGTTCCAATTATTTCTTATTATTTCCTATTATGATTTTTATGACAATAATAATAGAAATAAATATGATTTAATTTCTTTCAGAAAAAATTATATATAAACAATAAGAACCTTAAGACAATTATATTTTTTTATATATTTTATAAATCTAATCTATTGTTTGCAAATGTTTTTTATTGAAAAATATTTTTGTTTAAATATAATTCATAAAAATCTTTTTGTATACTTTTTCGCTTCTGACGTCATAATCTGATGTTATAATAATAAATGAACAACAGCTATGATAAGTTTAAATCTCTAATAAGGAAAAACAAAAAATAAAATTAAAAATTTTATTTAGACATTAATGTGTCAAATTAACAATGAACTGTATAAATTTTATGATAAATTTGTTTCATTTACGTTTCGCTTTTATATTCAGCAACTTTTTTCTTGAGTTGTGAATCTCGTAGCTGTTCTGCATTTGTCTGATTAAACTTGGACATAACTGTAAAATTTTTCTTCTGTAACAAAAGTATGTGTAACGAATCCCTTTAATTTCATTAAAGCGGAAGCAACACGATAAAAAGACGAACTTGATGTACAGCAGGTCACTATGCGATACTGATTGCATTCCTCGCGAATGCAATCAGTAGCAATGCACAGAGAATGCTGATAGCTTGGGATAGGAAGAAGTGGAATTGCAATTTGCATTAATTATAGTTAGTATTACGAGCATTCCGTAATGATAGTTTCGTAATGATATATTGAATACCAATAATGAGAGATCAAAATCATTCATCGTATTACTTGAAGTTTTTATCTCCTCGACTATGAAATAGTTATCGCTTTGGAGGCTTTTTGTATATATTACTCTCCTAATTATAAAATGTAAATTTTTATGTTACGGGCTAACTTTTCTCATTCTCGGCAAAGACGCAAGGAACTTGTATTTCTCAATTCAAGTATGCAGCAATGTACTTATAATCTTATCTTCTTAAGTACCGAATAATAAAGCGAGTGTAATCTAACTCAACAGCTTTTCCTGTGACATCGACAGAAATTTTCAATAAGTTTATTTCCTGCGCAGGCACCGTGTATCGATAATCACGTACGCGATGATAATATCGCGATTATGAGCGTGTCGTTGCGAGTTAAACTTTTAACATTTAGAACAAAAGCATCCTACGTCCAGTCCAATAATAGTGTATAGATACATCATACACATACGATCGTATATAGACCGTTAATTGCTCTGTTATGTCCTGCGATGTATAATAACGGTTTAATAAAGCTTGTAAGAGTTTTACGATCGGCGCACAGCTATGTATACGCCGTTATTTACGCTTATTGATGCATAAATCTACATTTATGTCGCGCTTAGACTTCAATTTCGTTAACTTTTTATACACAATTTCTTAAACAGACGAGAAAAGTATGTTAAGTTCCTTATCTTTTTGCTTATAAAGCAGAAGAGTCAGGATCATAGAGGAGGATGTTAGAAGAAAAGATAGGATAGTTCCAAGTAGCAAAGGGACGTTTTTTATGACATTATATTTATATTAAAGACGTTATTAAGACATCATTTGATATCCACTTGTTACTTGGAGTATTTTTATTTTATAAACTTATATTTCTTTATGGATCAAATGTAATTTTTAAAGTGACAAATTATTTGTTTGTGCAGCTGCAGTTCACAGTCTGGCTACTCCTATCGGAGCGCTGTTATCAGGACCGTTTCTTGATGCGATTGGTCGACGAGGTTGCCTTCAATTGTCGTCAATTCCTCTGTGCATAGGCTGGTTGATTATCGGTTTGTCGAGGAATGTGACTTCTATTTTAGTTGGAAGAGTTATCTGCGGTTTGTCCGTAGGATTCATGGCGGTACCCGCACAGGTGCAAATACTATTCAAATTTTGAATGACACGAAATTTAATAAAAGAATTTCCAATTGATTTCGAAGTTGAACATATAAATTAATGTTTAAAAAAATTATATTATGTAGAAAAAATTAATTTATTGACTCAATTTACATGCTCTTATTTAATTTATTTAACGTACATTTTCTGCATGTTTGGCATGATGAATTTTTTTTTAAACGACATTTAACGCATACGTAGTGACATTAAGTACAATTACCTTTCTCTTGATTGGTTTAACCTTTCTTTAGTCATGAATGAACTTCTACCATTTGGTTCGCTGTTTGACTTTTACTATTTATCTTATCGATCGGTTTCTCTACTTATTTCACTATATTTATCTTTTGCTGTTAGTGCAGTAGAAAAAATTTGTACTTATTAGAGATAGATATCATCTGTTGTTTCCTGTTATTCACTTTATTTATTAAAGTCAATCAGAAATTTTTTTAACAGAAAAATATTGTTTATTTTATTCTATTTAAATAATAATAAATTTAAATAAATTTTTTTATGTTTAATTTAAAAAGCTCATTATTTATTTATTAACATGTGTTAACTTTTTTATTGATATTATAAGATGATGTTTATTTCAAATTATGTATGTTATGATTTGTAGGTACTGGTAGGAGAAACAGCGTATCCAGGTCTCCGCGGCTTCCTGGTGGTTGGTTCATTCGGCGCATATTGCGCTGGAATTTTGCTGGTTTATGCTTTCGGTGCTTCTTTTAATTGGGACATAGTGGCCTTCTATGCTATCGTACTTCCCATTGCAGCTTTTATTGCTCTTTGTTTGGTTCCTGAAAGTCCCGCCTGGCTTATTAGACGGAAAAAAATAGACAAAGCCAAGAAAGCTCTTTTGTGGCTCAGAGGCGGCAATACTGAACAGGTAGAAATTTATAACTCTCATTTCAATAGTATAGAAATTTTTGAACTAAATTGTGAAACTGATAACAAAATGTACACATAATTAAAACTGTTTTAATCAGGTGCTTGCAGAGATAGAGCTCCTAGACACAAGCATAAAAGCTGATCTTGCTAGGAAGCCTGTAAATACCTCATTTACGAAGAGAATCTCCTCTGCAATGTCCACAATTCGCGATCCAGGCGTGTTGAAACCATTGATTATTATCAACGTATTCAATGCGCTTCAATTAAGCAGTGGAACGTACATTATTGTCTTTTATGCCGTTGATATGATCAAGGACATAGGTGAGAAAGAATTATGTAATATTATTTGGGTGAAAGTTTAATTTCCATCTGCGCTTAAAAGCTTTGAGTGGAAATATTTAAAGAAATAAGATAACAGAAAAAAGTATGGAAATTATTATTATGCCGTTTTTTGTAGGCAACGGCAACATTGATAATTATTTGGCGGCCGTGGTGACGGCAATTATAAGATTTATCTTCTCTCTCGTTTCCTGTGTTTTGTTACTTAAAATGGGTAGACGAGCTTTAGGCATCATTTCAGCACTTGGCACATCCTTGGCCTCGTTGATTCTAGCGGGATATTTGATTGCTAGAAAGGAAGGATCTTCCGTGGATGTGAGTATTTGTTTATTTGTTCCCAATTAATCTTACTTTTCGGTTTATTCAAATGTATATAACGTGTAAATTAAACAAATGATTTCAGGTCTATGTGTTGGCTGTATGTTTGTTGTTTTATGTTGGTGCGAATACCTTGGGTCTGCTAATACTTCCTGGCCTGATGGTCGGTGAATTGATGCCTCTGAGAGCTCGTGGCATCGGTGGTGGCTGTATCTTTTTTATCTTCAATCTACTTCTGTTCTTTATGACCAAATTTTTTCCAATGGTAATACATCGCATTCTAAAATTCAAAAGTTTATTACACAGCACTCCTTTTGTGTGTGAGATAAAAATTTTAATGAGAATATATTTGTTTATTTGTGTGTGGTGTGTTTTAAGTATAAACAACAGAGTTGGGAAAGTTACTTTATAAAAGTAACTCATTACCATTATTATTCTTTTTTTTTTAAGTACCTCGTTATCCTTACTTGAAAAAAAGTATTTTTACCTTTTTGCTACTTGTCATCATTATCATTAAAAAAATTAATAAGTCGTTACTTTGTTGCTTTTTTATTTTGATAAATTTTTCTTTAGAATTATATAAGACTCAAATAAAACATAAGTCTTTATCCAAATAATGACTCCAAAATGATTATTAAAAGTTAAAATAATGATTTATTTTGACATCATTTTAATTTTGTAATTTGTTGTTCTTGAGTGATCTACAATAATTATGATTAATCGCAACTTAGTCCAAAAATTTGCTTATGCATGTTCCGTACATATATATACGTGTACAAAGTAAATAAAAATAATGATTATAGTGTAACTTTTATGAATTGGATAACGACATTATATTGCCTTATTTTAACGTTGTGGTAATTGCATAATAATTACTAAAAAGAATAGTAATTGTATGTAATAATGACACTTAAGTAATTTCTTATATACATACATAGACAAAATAATGTGAACCTCTCAGAAATATACCTAAATATTTATTTGTCTTATTAATAAGAAATGGATTATTTATTTTTAATAACAGGTTTTATCTTTGTTGAAATCATGGTGTAGTAATTGGTACAGTACAATATTATTTCTCTGGCAGAACATTTTCTAGAAGTACATTGCTTAAAAGATATTGTAGAAGAAAATCTGTTTCTCACTTTGTTCAAAATTACAAATGATATTTATAATAAATCAAGTGATTTAATTAGTCAGAAAAGATGTTGAAGATTTGGAAAACAAATAAGGACAATTTTGGAAAATAGAATGAGAAGACAATTTCCTTTTTCAATATCATTTATATAAGCAATTGGAAAATATTCTATTAAAAAAATAATACAACATTCTACTGATATTCAAGCCTTGAGTAACCATTCCAATAAGGATACAATGTAAAAGCAAATAATAAATCAACTT